AAAAGAAGGGCTGGAAACGTAGCTCAGAGGTAGAATGCCCCTGAGTTCAATTCCCAGTACCGCAAACCCAACAAACAACCAAAAGATCATTAGGGACTACTATGAACAGCCATACACCAACAGATTAGAAAACCTAGAAGAAATAGTTAAATTTATGAGCCCATCTAACCTACTAAAATTGAAGCATGATATCAGAAAACCTGGACAGATCAGTAACAAGTAATGAGATTGAATCAATAGAAGAAAGTCTCCTAACAAAGCAGAGCCTAGGACTGGATGGTTTCACTGCTGAATTTTACCAAACTTTAAAAGAAGAACTAATACCAATTTTTCTCAAACTATTTCCAAATATTGAAAAGGAGGGAACCCTTCTAAAATTATTTTATGGGGCCAGTATTACCTGGATAGTAAAACCAGACAAGGGCACAACAATCACACAAAAAACTACAGACCAGTATCCCTGATGAATGCAGATGCAAAAATTCTTAACAAGATACTAAAAAAATTGAATTCAATAGCACATTGAAAATATTATATACCAGGATCAAGTAGAATATAGACACCTATATCACATCAACAGAACAAAAGATCAAAACCATAGGATCACATCAAAAGATGCAGAAAAGGCATTTGCTAATATTTTCTAGCTTCATGCTAAAAAAACCTTGAGAAATTAGTTATAGAAGAAATATACCACAACACAATAAGGGATACATTTGATGACCCATAGCCTATATCACACGGAATGGAAAGATATCATTTTCTTTTCTTTTTTAAAAAATATTTCTTAGTTGTAGGTGGACACAATACCTTCTTTATTTTATTTTATTTTTATGTGGTGCTGAGGATTGAACCCAGTGCCTCACGCAAGCCAGGTGAGCACTTTCCCTCTGAGCCACAACCCCAGCCTTGAAATAATTTTCTTTAAGATAAGGGACAAGATAAGGATGTCCAGTTCACCACTCTTATTCAATATAATATTGGAAGTTTTAGCCAGAGCAATGAGACAAGAGAAAGAAATAAAGAGTAGTCAAACTACTCTTTAGGAGGAAGTCAAATTATTCCTATTTGCAAATGGCACAACTTTATGCACAGAAAAATGTTAAGATGAATTAATTAGGGTTGCAGGATACAAAACCAATATAGAGAAATCAGAAACATTTTTATAATCAATTACAAACTTTCTGAGAAAGAAATCATGAAATTAAACCAACTCATGATATCTCCAAAAAATACCTGGGAATAAATTTAACCAAGAAAATGAATGACAATTACAAAACATGAATGAAAGGAATTGAAGAGGACACACACACACTCAAAATGTTCAATGTTCATGGAATGGAAGTGGTCTACAAACTCAATGCAATTCCTATTAAATACCAAAAACATTCTTTACAGAAATAGAAAAACACTCTTAATATTTGTAAAAAACTACAAAAGTCCCTAAATACAAAGTTGGAGGCACTACAATACCCGGCTTTCAAACATATAACAAAGTGGTAGTAAGCAAAACAGCAAGGCACTGGCACAAAAACAGACACACAGACCAATAGAATAGAACTGAGAACCCAGAAATAAATCCACTTAATTACAGCCAACTGATTTTCAACAAAGGCAACAAGACTATAGAAAAGTCAGTCTTCTCAAGTAAATAGTGCTGGGAAAACTAGATTTCTATATGCAGAAGAAAGACACTAGATCTTTATCTCTCATATATAAAAATCAACTAAAAATAGATGGAAAACTTAAATGTAAGAACTGAAACTATGAAACTATATAGAACAAATATAGGGGAAAATGCTCTGGACATTGGGCAAATTATTTTTTGGCTATGACTCCAAAAGCACAGGAAACAAAAAGCACCAGAAGAGATTACATCAAGGGCTGGGACTGTGGCTCAGTGGTAGTGCACTTGCCTTGCATGTGTGAGATGGGTTTGAGTCTCAGCACCAAGTATAAATAAATAAAATAAAGATCTACCAACAACTAAGGGGAAAATATTTAAAAAATAGATTACATCAAACTAAAAAACTTCTATAGAGCAAAGGAAACAGTAGAGTGAAGAGACAACCTACAGAATAGAAAAAAAAAATGTTTGCAAACTATTCATCTGATAAGGGATTAATTTCCAGACATTTAAGGTACTTAAATAAATCAACATCAAAAAGTTAATAATCCAGTCAAAAGTAGGCTAATGACCTACATACACATTTCTCAAAAGAAGATGTACAAATGGCCAATAAGTAGGTGAAAAAATGCTCAACACCACTAATCTTCAGTAAAACGTAGATCAAAACCACAATGAGATATTGTCTCACTCCAATCAGAATAACTATAATCAAAAAGATGAAAAATAAAAAGTCCTGGTGAGGATGCAGAGAAAGGGGAACTCTTGTGCACTGTTGATGAAAATGGAAATTAGTACAGGCATTATGAAAAAAATGGAGGTCCTCTAAAACTAAAAATAGAACTACCATATGATCTAGCAATCCCTTTACTGAGGATATGTCCAAAAGGAATTAATTAAAATCAGTGTGTTGAAGAGACATCTATACTCATAATGTTTATTGCAGCACTATTTGCAATAGTCAAGATATGGAATCAATCTAATTGTACATGGATGTATGAATGTATAAAGAAAATGTGGAATACATACACAATGAAATATTATTTAACCATAAAATTCTATCATTTGTAGCAAAATGGATGGAACTGAAGGACATTATGCTAAGTGAAATATGTTAGGCATAGAAAGGTAGAAGTTAAAAAGTTGACCTCAAAGTAGAGAAAAGAGCAATGGTTACAAGAGTCTGGGAAAGATGCTGGGCAGGAAGAGATTGAAAGAGGAGAGTTAACAAGTATAGGGGTGCAGTTGCATAGGAGGGCTAACTTCTAATGTTCTTTGGCACAGGAGGATAACTATGGTTGACAACAACTAGTAAAGAGAATTTTGAATGTTCCCAACACAAAGAAATGATATATGTCTTAGGTGACAGAGACTCCAATTACCATGCTTTGATTACTGCACATTACATACATGTATTGAAATACTACAATGTACCCCATAAACATGCACAATTACTATATGTCAATTAAAAATTAAAATGTGCTGGGCATGGTGGTGCATGCTCTTTGGGAGAATGAGGCAAGAAGATGGCAAATTTAAGGTCAGCCTGGGGAACTCAGTGGAGACCCTGTTTCAAAATAAAAATTTTAAAAAATGAATGGGAATGTAGTTCAGTGGTAGAGTGCTTGCTCAGTATGTGGAAAGCCCTGGGTTCAGTCCCAGTACTGAGGGGAAAAAAGTGTACACACACACACACACACACACACACACACATATATATATATATATATATATATATATATATATATATATATAATGGAAAGTTATGTATTAAATTGGGAGCAAGTGAGAAACAACTGGGGGCCAATGGTACTTCTCCCAAAATCTTCCCCTATCACCCCTTCTTTGGAGACAGGACCTCTGCTGTGTACCATCTGAGGGACACAGGCACCTCATAATGGAGATAGAGGATGCACTGTCATTTGAAAGTCTTTCCAGCAGAGGGAGCCAAGCATCTGGGAATAGTTCCTCTATTCAACATCAAGCCAAATCCTCTTAAATTCTAATACTCAGAATAAGTAAAAGGTTGGAGACCTCAACTGGCTGTTGCAGCAGGGACAAGTGGGCATACAGCAGAAGTGTATTATCCAGAAATAATACAGGCTGAGATGCCATGCATTTCTCCCATTTGGTAGAAGTACCATGTTATTTGATCACAATGTCCTCATTTAGAGTCTACTTGATTGTCAATGAAAACTTCTTTTAAAACAATTTAAGAGAAAGAATTTCAGAATACATATAATAGTGTATTAGTTAGGGTTTGATCAAGAGAGACACCACATAGTCATTGGATAGGAAACTTTGGTATAAAGAATTATGGATTATGATAGGTTAGAGAGGAGCCTAAAGAACACAAGATGACAGAAATGGGGCCCTGCCCCACCTAGCCTGGGGAGGCAGGAGCTGACCCAGCACAGTTGTGTGTGGGAGAGATGACCATTCCCAAGTCCACATGGGAAAAAGAGTGCAGAGTAGGGGCTGAAGGTAACAGAGGTGACCCGTCCTATGACTAAATGACCTGTGGCTAGAGGAAAAGGCCCTCCCAGTCCTCAGGGTCCCTGATGCTCTTGAGAGGCCAGGGCTTTGTGGGTGCCAGTTGCTGAAATACCCCCAAGTTTGTTCCTGGCTTAACCATTTGTGTGTGCTCCTGCCACACACACACTCACCCCCTCTTATACACAGTCTCACATGTGCACACAAATTCACACATTGCCTCAGGCTCGAAAGCTCACATGTGTCATTCCCCCCTCCCCAATCCCAGTCGCATAGCAACCTTCTTCATACCCTTTCCTGTTCCTTGGAGACTTGACTTCCCAATCTGTCTCTGCACAAACGCTCTTCCCTACCAAGTTCCCACCCAGGATTCTGTCCTCCTCTTTGCCAGGCTGCACTCCAGGTCCTCCCAAGTCTATCCACCACCCAGTCTACCCCTGGTGGTTTCCCAGTCTGACCCCACCAGCCTGTCCCCCAATTCTCCATCAGTCCACACTCCATCCTTATCCCATCTTCACCCCAGCCCTTTGCCCAGGCTGTCCCCGAAGTCTGTCCCCACTTTGTACGGCCCCCGGTCTGAATTGCAGCCTTTCTTCACCCCCTCCTTCCCTGTCCAATCCCACATCCCGTTCTCACTTTGGTTCTGACTCCAGCCCAGAATCCAGAGCACTCGCTTCCCCCGCCCCTCAGTCGGAGGGATGGTGCTTTGCGCATTTTGGGCTGCACCTCCTACTTCAGGCGTGACCGGGGCGTGGCCAGGGCGAAGACTGGGGGCGCGACTGTGGGAGTGGCCTGAGGGAGTGGGCTCCCGCGGCCCCGCCCCGCACCCCACTGCGCTCCACAGAGCCCAGACCCGGACAAGCCGTCCGGAGTCCCGCTGGCCATGGAGAAGCAAGCGCTGCGGCTGCATCTTTTCCCGCTGCTGCTGCTGCTCTGTGGTAAGGGGAAATTGGGCCCCGGGGCCCTCCAGCCTCTCACGGCCGCGGGGCCGCGCAAACCCTCGCCTTCCCCCGCTGCGTCTAGGTTGCGCACCTCCCCTTCCTTGGAGCTCAGAAGCGACGTGCGGTGACCCCAGAGCATCCCCCAGGTTCTGCTGGAGGGTCCTGGATCTCCCTGACATCAGAGGATCTGAGGGTTAAGGACCTGTGCATCAGGGGAGGCGCGGGGTTTCCCTGTGGGCTGCTGCGACGTCCCAGGCCTGGGGTACCATCTCCCTACCTGAGGGGGAGGTAGTGAGTTCCCCATCCTGATGAGTGGTGCACACTGTGCGAGTGTGTGGGTTGGAGGACTCCTGACCTTGGTAGCGTTGGCCTTTCTGACAGCTTCTACCCGAGTTCTTTTCCAGAGAGAAAACAGACTCAGTGAGAAACATAGCTTACAAAATGGGAATCGATTAAATTAAAAACTTGTTTTGAAATAGCTTACTGAAGAAATTATCCAAGAATAAGAGGGTGCATTTACACGTATGCGTGTGTAATGTATATATGTGAGTGTGTGTGTGTGTCTGATATAGGGGCTTTGGTGGAGCTTCTAGGCAAGCGAGAGGGAAGCTGGTGATGGGGAGGGCCCTGGCTTGGGTATCAGTGACTCAGGATCTATCCACCAGGGCTGTTGCCTCTTGGGTTCTTTCTGCTTTCCTCTTCTGGCTGCAGCCTCCTTGGCTGTAAAATGAAAAGGTGGGCCTGTTTCCCCAGCATTTAAAATCTGGGATTCAATAAGTGAGGTGGGAAAGGGTGCACCAGGCTTAGTGGTGACTTTCCTTCTATTGAAGAGGTCTCTGTTCAGATCCAGAGTTGGAGCCAGTCTGGGGTGGATTTTTGTGTTAAAAGGGTAAAGGCATGTGACTACTTCTAGAAATCAGTATACCTATTTGGGATTTCAGCAGGCCTTCAATGCAAGGACCCTCTGATTGCAGTCTTGATCTTCATGGTGGAAGGAAAATCCCCAGTTCATTCTGAGGGAACCCGAGATTCTCCAGGCCACCTCCAGCATGAAATTGAAAAGGAGTGCAGTAAGAAACTATGAAAATCTTCCTCTTTAATATATCGGGGTCTTTTATGGACCCAGTCTCCAAGGTCTACCTTTTTGTCCTGTTTTGGTGGTTCCCACTGTCCCCCTTGCCTAAGGGCCAGGTTCCCTAGTGGGGGCCAGGTCCAGCCTCTCACAGACCTGCCTGGTATTATCCTGGCCTGAGCAAAAGTCAGAGAGAGGCAAAATGTATTCATGGTCATAAGTAATTTGCAGAGGTGGGACCAGAATTCAATCTGCCCTCTGGAAGGAAAGAGCTGAGTTTCCCAACTTCCAGGAATGGTGATCATTTGTGCTCTGGATCCTGACACATTGGTGACCTGAGCTGCCTTTAGGCTGCACAGAGTAGGAGTTTGGGGGCCTGCCCACTGCTGGGACTAGGACCTGAAGAAATAGTTCCTATTGACCAGCCAGTCATGAAGACCAGTTCTGAACAGGGAGGGTGCTGACTTGCAGTGTTTCTTTAAGAATTATAAAGCATTATTCAGAAAGCTGTTGGCACTGCACATGTCATGGGGGGTCTAGGAGGTGTCTACTAAGCAGGTAGTTGCTATGGTGCCCAGCTCTTGCCCGGACTTTCTTGGTGTGGGTGAAAATCCTGCATCATAATTCCAACATCATAAGACACTTACTGGCCCTAAGCCTCAGTTTCTTGGACTATAATGTGGATGCAGCTATAGCAACCTGTAGAGGGCTCTGTGATGATCAGTTTGATTTGATTGAATTCTTCCCAATCCTCTTGTGCTGGACATGGGATTATGAAGAGAAAGGATTTATGCTTAAATAAGGGGCTGTGCCTAGCACATGTCCCTCATGAGGGTTCACATTCAGCACTAGAACATAGGACACCCTAATATGTGTATATGTCTCTGTGTGTGGACATATTACCATCATTTTTTTTGGTACCATCCCTTTTGTCATTAATAAAAGTAATGGGCTGGGATTGTGGCTCAGTGGTAGAGTGCTTGCCTAGTACGGGCAGGACCTGGGTTCTATCCTCAACACCACATAAAAATAAAGGCATTGTGTTGTGTCCATCTACACCTAAAAAATAAATATTAAAAAAATAAAAGTAATGACACCACTGTGTCATCTGTGGTCATGTTACTTCTGCTGAGTCAAATACATCCAAGGACACAGTAGTAAGTATCCTTGGGGACTTAAAAGTCTTCAAGGAGGTGGTTGGTCAAGTGCAGGGCTATTGATTTTTTTAAGCACTGGAGGTGTCTTGGAAATTGCCTGGTTCCACTTTTCATTTTATAGATAAGGAAACTGAAGTGGAGGGGTAGGGATGGAATTACCCGGATAAAGGTACTGGGGGCAGAATTTCCCACATATCATATATATCATAGCCTTCTAAGGCCAATGTCCAAGGCCTACCACAGACACCTTTGATGCTGTCATCTGGTTACTGCGGAGGAGGATGAGAGCGCCTGGATCTCATTTCAAAATGACTGACCACAAAAGGCTTTTCTCTTGGAAATGCATCTGTTTGGCTGTTTATCATCCTTCAGCATCTGGAAGTCCCTGAGACCAAAAGATGCACAGGCCTCTGTGTTCTTTGTTTCCCGATGAACCTAACCAAAATGGATTTTTATTTTGATTTAGTTCCTGAGAACTTCACTGGTTCCGTAAGCAGCACACAGCCAGTAGCCTGAGTGGAGTGACCCAGTTTTATGGGGTTTCAGGGTCCTGTGTCTTTACTCTGTTACTGTTATACTGGGTGGGTTGTGGGGTTGTGTAAGGACCCCCTTAAACTCTGTGTGTATCAGATATGGTGTCAGAATGGGCCCCTATGGAGAGCACTACATGTGTCCCATGTGCCTGTCTTGTGTGGGCCTAGGGCATCTTCAGAGCACTCTTGGTTAAGGAAGTTATGTCAGAACATCTGCTTGAGATACCTACCTGCACATGGTCCTTAGTAGCACATGTACAACTGCCTGGGCCTGGCTCTTGCTGTGCCGACATGCAGGGATTCAAGAAAAGAGATTCCAGGGAATACAAAGGTCCTGGGATACATACAGCTTCTGGGTTATATGGTGATTCTGGGATATTTAGAAGTTATAGGGTATATGGAGGTTCTGAGGCACAGAGAGATTCTGGGGTATGAGGAAATCCTAGGGTATACAAAGATTCTGGGGCACAGGCAGATTTTGGGGTATGTGGAGGTTCTGGGGTGTGTAAGTTTTGGAACACATCAAAATTCTGGAGCACGTGAAGGGTCTGGGGCACGTGGAGAATTGGGGCACATTAAGATTTAGGGTAGTAATTGAGTCAGGCATATTATAAGAGATCCCTCATTGGCTTGATTGAGGTTTATAGGTCCATGGTAAAGGTGCTGGGCAATACCTGTTCTGACATGGGGGTGGAGGAAAATCAGTGCGGTCTTTGATCTGTCCCTTAGGGGTAGGGGGAGAACAAGAGCTCAGAGAGAGTGATGGTCACTGAAGGGTCACTGGTATTTATGGTATCTTGTCCCAGAGATCAGTTTCAGAGCATCATGGCTCATGCAAAGATCAGATATGGCCCTATGTTGGAGAAATGGTTTGCCAGATATAGCCATGATCTGGGTTGGCTGTGCAAATACCTATAAGGATTCAGATTCATTCTGACTTCCAAAGGATAAAGAGGAGGAAGGGGAAGGGGAGAGAGAGGAAAGGGAGATTGAGTAGGACAAGAGAGTGACAAGTGGGACTTTCCTGGCCAGTGCCCATTAGGATGGCAGGTGGAGCTCAGGAGATTGACCCAAGGGTGCTGAGAGGGATCCCAACAGGGACTGATGAAGCCAGGCCAGGAATGAGGACAAGGGCTGCTTATGGGGAATAGCCTGTGGACTGTCAAAGCCTGAGGTGGGGAGCTCATCCTTGACCTGCAGGGAAAGGAGGCTTTTGGAACAAAGAGGCTTTAGGGAGAAAGGAGCACAGGCTGCCTTCACCATTGTCTGCCTCCATGTTGCCCTTGGGAACTGCGCTTCTCAGTCACTAGTGCCCCAACATGGATCAGAGCTGCCTTTCCACCACCAGGCTTGGCAGATGCAGCTGAGCAGGCGGCAGAGACTTGCTCAAGGCATCTCTGGCTCAGAGGCTAACTCTGTATTTGGTCCTGGGAAAGTTGCTTTTCTTTTGGGTTTCTGTCTTCCCGTCTTTTAACTGGGATGGAACAGAGGCCAGATATTTTTTTTCCCCAAGGTTCTTCCCAGGATAGATGCTGATCTGGACCCTGAAACTTGGTACACAGCCCAGCCTCCACAGGTACTTGAAATGTTTACTGGGAGAGAAGAAAAGGAAATGAAAATAGGGGAAGATGAGCAGGTACCATTGAACTTGGAGCACCCAGAGCAAGGAGGCAAGCCTAGGATAGACCCTTGCTTGACAAATCAAGGATGGGAGTTGGGTGAGGGTGTTAGCCCAGACCAGGGATGACAGTCCACCTGGAGGTAACTCTGTGGGAAGTCAACGTGGCTCTGAATCTTGATCCCCACCATGTCTTACTGCGCAGGTCACTGTTCCTGTCTTAAGCACCTGTTCCTTCTGGTTGTTGTAGGTTGGTGGGTTGGACCACACTTAGAACAGGGCCCTGGGGTACACTGGTCAGTGCTGAGGGAGGTGGAGACTCAAGAGCTGAAGGGGAAAGGAAATGGGACAAGGTGCTACCAGTTGGGTGCCTCTGGTTCCATTTCCAGGTAGAGACATGGAAGCTTAGAGATGGAAGTGAGTGTGTCAAGGCTGAAGGGCAGAGCCCAGGTGAACATTCAGGATGCCTGGTTCCTGCCTGCTGTTCTCCATCCTCTCTGCCCTTACTGCTCAGAGTGTGGTCCTCAGACCTGCAGGCATGGCATCATCTGGAGCTTTTCCGACATTAGCACATTGGCCCTACCCCAGGCCTGCTAGAGCGGAATCTGTACAGTACG